CCATGCTTGGTCTCCCCAGCATGGTGGAGTCAGAACTGCTATCATTTGCGGAAGAAATTATTGCTGGAGACCTCACCTTTGCTGGCTGGCTCTCTACTGAGATTGCATGATTTCACAGAAAATTAGTACCTACACCTGCAAAGCTGCAGCTTTCCCACCCCCATTTATCATCTTTCAAGACTCCTTAAAGAAGGAAATTATCAATTTATCATTCTGTAGAGGAAATGGAATGCCTCTAATATTTGTCATCTATGAGAGAGTTTAAGGATGACGTGCTAGCTTTCTGGAAATGTTGGCCATTACTTCAAATGGAATTGAAATTCTAATTTATTATTTCCCAAAAATACAATCTTAGTGATAATAAGAGAATGTATCAGAGCTTTTTTTTTTTTTTTCCACCTGCAAGGATGCATTTTCACTGAAACCCGTGGTACCCTGGACTCCCATGGATCCTGGCAGGATGTTTCCCACCCATAACGCCGTGGTCACCCTCAGGGTCAGCCAGGGATGAAGAGGCAGCTTTCTTGTTGGCTGTGACCTTTGTTCCCTCTGCTGTAAGGGCTGGAGGAGAGAGGCCGTCCCAGACAGCTGCCAGGGGACAGTCATGAGTGTGCAGTGTCTAGCACATTACGAATGTTTGTTAATTGACTGGTAATTCATTATGTGACAGCGCTATAACTCAGCTATCCTTTTCAGCCAGGGATTAACTCAGTAATCAGTCATTAAAGGGGTAAAAAAATATTACAGTACCAGCCAGATGGCAGGGCAATCAAACACATAAAGGAAAATGGCTGGTCTTTGAGTAAGATGCAAGGCAGCAAAGCCTGGGTCCTGGGCCTGGTTATGTTCCAAATTCTAGCTGGGGCGAGTCTTGGCAGGCTTTCCTACGTCTAGTGTGCTCTAACCTTTCTTATGAGCAGGAGCAGGGTTGGTCAGACAACCATGTGAGGCATCTGTCCAAATGGCCCCAGCCGAGTTTGAAGAAGGAAGAAGGAAGCACGCGGGCCCGATCCTCACATTTGTGAGGCCTTGAGCAAGAGTATTAATGAAAGCCCACATACCCCATGTCTAAACATTTAAAAGTTACAAGCTAATAAACTAGCCAACAAGATGTGTTTTATCCTTCTGCCTTGATGAACGTCTCTCCAGAAGGACCTGGAAGGTCAGATTCAGGTTTAGAATTCTGTACTTGACTGGGGTGATGGAGGACAGCTGGTCTGTGTCTGTCCACTTCCCTCCCCCTGCCTGGTTCCACTGACATGGTAATGGGCCTCGAGTATCCCTGTGTGGACACTCCCCATGCACATCCAAGCTCTGATCGTGCCCATGCCCTCGAGATAGCTCCTCCTTGGCCATCCTCAGGCCTCAGCGCTGTGCACCACGAGCTGGAAAGTCTGCCCTTGGGAGGACTGACCCAAAGAAGTAGATGCTCATGCAGTCCTGCAAATGTTCTCAGAGCTGTTTGGGGAAGGAATTCCCAGGCCCCAAGAGTATGGTCTAGAAGGTGGGTCAGGGACCGAAGATGGGCTCATCCCACTGACTTGAAGGGTTCCTCTCCTGTGGGAAGGGGTCTCTCTAGAAAAGAGAGAGCAGCACCCTCCAAATGGGGGAGCCATAGCAGGAGCCCCCTTGCTGGGGACTAAAGGACATATTGGAAAATTGCTGAGCCCTACTTCTGCCGTCACCCCCATCCCTTACACACCTCTCTCCATGTGCCTCGTAGCCAGGCCACAAGGAGAAGGTACACTCCGTGTGTATCTTTTGGGCCATAACTCATAGTCACCCTTGGTCCCACATCTCTTTTAGAGCCGTGGCCAGAGGGAAGCAAAGATGTCCCAATGTCACCATGAGTTGTTTCCCTTCTCATCTCTTCGTAGTCACGAGGGTGGCAGAGACTCAAGCTCAGTTGCTATGCTCCGTCTCTGCAATGGCAAGGGTGACCTCGTGGTCAGCTCCAGAAGCCAGAGCACAATCCCCAGACCGTCCTCTCAACTACTGGACCGTGCACACTGTTTTGGGAGCCCACACGCTTGGGTGATTAGCTATGGGTAAAAAGCTGTGAGTCTCAACATACCCCAAGCAACCTTTACTTTAAGAATTTGAAATACAGTCTCACTATGACGCTGTCTCCTTAACAAAGTAGTGCCTTTAAAATATTTAACAACTTGAAAAGGAAACCAAGCTTGAATTTTCCTTTCAAGCACGGAGGAAACGCAGTGTTTCGCTCCTGTCTGAAATCCACCATCTCCTCAGACAAAGAAGGCTCTTTTGGTAAAAGCAATGGCATTTTCTCCACAATTTTCAAATAAAAGATAAAGAGAAAACAGCATTGCAGCCTTTTTTGTTGGATCTAACAAGAAAGGAATAATACGGTTTTGCCAGCGGAGAGCTCTGGCTTTAAGTTCAGAATACAAAAATAGGCTGACAAATTTTACAAAGGAATATTCTCAACTACGGCTCTGAGACAGGTAAAAAGTGAAGTTTCAAGAAAACTAGATCATTTGGTTATTTGGGGCTATATTATCATGATGATCAAGCTGATGGGCCAGTCCTATGTGATGTTCTAAAATGGAAGGAATGTGATTTCTCCTGCCCTGCTCACCCCACCCCTCACCCCTCACCCTCACGTGGTCCATTTTCTCCCTTGATCCCAATCTAAACCTGGATTTTGGGAAAAGGAATGGGGGGGCCATCATCTGCATTCCAGCTCCTCATGTCCAGCCTGCTCCCCCCACATGGTCCAGCCTCCCTTTGCTCAGCTGACTTTTCCTACCGCTACTTCCAAAGACCCTTCCATGCTGCTGCCTACCCTCTCGGTAACAGCCACCTGTACCTCCCTAGTGGTTACACTCACTGCAATTGGCTTACAATTGTCTTACCCCATCCAGTTATACTCTCTGCTGGCGCAGAAACCATATGCATTTTTTTTATAAATTTATTTTTTATTGGTGTGCAATTTGCCAACATATAGAATAACACCCAGTGCTCATCCCATCAAGTGCCCCCCTCAGAGGGTCACCCAGTCACCCCCCACCCCCGCCCACCTCCCCTTCCACCACCCCTAGTTCGTTTCCCAGAGTTAGGAGTCTCTCAAGAAACCATATGCATTTTCTTTAAAAATCTCCACCACTGTCCCAGTGCTGGGCATGTAACCAGTGGGATGAAATAAATGAATGAGTGAATTAATGAATGGGAACTTAAGCCACTAGAATGCTGTTCCCAGGGTGTTTGAATTAACTGTAATTGAGGAGCAAACAGCACTTACCCCTCCTAAAGGAGTCCTAAACTTAATGGGCGAGTATTTGGAGGAACAAAGCACTGTAACGCGGTCTTTGGGTGGTCTATTTGATATAAGGTGTTTGAGTGTGTGGTGGGGTGGGGTAAGGGATTATGGTAAAGGGCTTGCAAGATTTGAAAGGAATCCATAGAATTCAGAGGACCAGCTACCAATTAGTAAGCATTTATATGTGTCAATTGTACTGGCAAATGCTACTCGTGCACCATCCTTATTATCCACATTTTATAGATGAGAAAATTGAGACTTGGAGATGAAAACTGTCTAATTTCACAGAGTCAGTGGAAGAATTAGGGTCTGAAGCTCAGTTGGTTTGACCTAAATCAGAAGACCATCTCAGCAAGCTTCCTACCAACTGGAACCCAGATGTGGTGGCTTGGGATGCAACTCTAGCCATGGGAGTCCTTGGTATCCTGGCTACCCACTGTGCTCCTGATCTTCCTGCCTGCCTCTGCCCCCTGTGCCATCCGCTCATCTAGGGGTCTCCATTCCCCATCCTCAGTGGGAGAGGGCCTATCAGGGTTTCCAGGCGCCACTCAGTCTGTCTGTCCTGCAGAGAGCTCACCCCAGACCTCAGTCTGGTTAAGATTAAGATTAGGCTACCGATGATTGGTCAATGAGGGGGAAATAACAATAGTGGATTAAACAAAATAGAGGTTTATTTCTCTTTCACACAAAAACCTAGAATTTGAAGTCCAGGGTTGGTCTGGTAGCTCCAGGTGTCTGGGATCCAGACTCCTTTCTTATTTTTCTATAGCGCCTGGCTTCCATTTCTGAGGCCACCTGCTCCAAAATGCCTGCTGGAGCTCCAGCCATTGCATCCACATTTCAGCTACAGGACGGAGGAAGAGGTGGATGGGGGGAGAAAGGGCAGACTTCAAGGAAACGTTGCTGCGCCTACATCTCACACACCCCACCCCCAACCACACAATGTAGCCTTTATTCAAGGCGGCCACACGCCCAGGGAAAAATCTTGTTTTGTGAGAAACGCAGAGAACAGATACTGTCGGCCTCGACACCTCATCTAAGGCTCCCTTTGCCCAGAGACTCCAGCCGTGGCCAGGTGGGAGCTGGGGACTGACAGCTTTCTTGCACGGCCTGTGAAGGGCAGAGAAATTTCTTCTCTTCAAGCTGCATCATGGCAGCGGCTGCTTTGGGGCCTCATCCCACCTCTGTGCTCTTAAGGAGGCCAGCAATTCAGCCTTCTTGTCAGGCAGAGAGGAGCATCTGCAGTCTTTGTGAGAAGAGCCACCCCGGCCCTACCGCCCTCGGTTGGAGAATCAGGCTCATGATTACCACTTTTTTAGAAACAGATTTTATTTTATTTTATTTTATTTTATTTTATTTATTTTATTTTATTTTATTTTATTTTATTTTATTTTATTTTATTTATTTTATTTTATATTTTTTATTTTATTTGAGAGCCAGAGGGGGAGCAGCAGAGGAGAGAGAGAAGCAGACTCCCCACTGAGCAGGGAGCCCAACACGGGGCTCCATCCCAGGACCCTGGGATCATGACCTGAGCCGAAGGCAGATGCTTGACAGACGGAGCCCCCACGATCACCAATTTGAAACGGGGTATTTTCACAGAGGAACGCAAGTGAGGACGCTAGGCAGGGCATTGTTGAGTTTGCACGCTGACCCTCCTCCCTGCCCCTTGCAATCAGGACAGATGGGTGCCAACGCGTTTGTTCTTCCGTTGCAGGCTCCTGCGGCTGTCTGGTCATGATACTGTTCGCCTCCGAAGTGAAAATCCACCACCTCTCAGAAAAAATTGCAAATTATAAAGAAGGGACTTACGCCTACAAAACGCAAAGTGAAAAATACACCGCTTCGTTCTGGGTTGTTTTCATCTGCTTTCTTGTTCACCTGTTGAACGGGCTCCTGATACGACTTGCTGGATTTCAGTTTCCTTTTGCAAAATCGAAGGACACGGAGACAACTAATGTGGCTGCGGATCTAATGTACTGAAAGGCAGATATCTCTGTGATCCTCCAAGTAAGGGAGCAGCCCTGCTTTGGTCCTTGGAAAGGGTGCATTTCGTCCGTCCTTTCAGATGCACAAATTAAAGCACCCAAACCCTCTGTGGCGATGCTTATGAATGATGCTTACGTAGGGCACAGGCTGGAAAGGAAGGGGAGCAGAGGAAGGTCTTGGAAGGTTGATTGACTTGGTGGGAACTGGGTTCTTCTTCTTCTTCTTTTTTTTATTTAAGATATTTATTTATTTATTTATTTATTATTCATTCATTCATTCATTCATTTATTTTTTTTATTTGAGAGAGAGTGTGAGCACCTGCGTGTGAGGGTGGAGGGGGCAGGTGGGGAGGGGCAGAGGGAGAGAGAATGCCAAACAGACTCCCCTGCTGAGCCAGGAGCCCTGTGTGGGCCTCAGTCTCACCACTCTGAGATCAGGACCCGGAGCCAGTGCGCAACCCACTGAGCCACCCAGGCGCCCCTGGGAACTGAGTTTTAAGGCAGCTGAGTAGAATGGACAAAGTTTCCAGATGCCTGTCCCTATGCCCTCATTCAGGAAATACACCTGGAAAATTTCTTTTTTCTTTTTTTAAAGATTTATTTATTTTTTTTTATTTATTTATTTTTTATTTTTTATTTTTTATTTTATAAATTAATTTTTATTGGTGTTCAATTTACCAACATACAGAATAACACCCAGTGATCATCCCGTCAAGTGTACCCCTCAGTGCCCGTCACCCATTCACCCCCACCCCCCACCCTCCTCCCCCTCCACCACCCCTAGTTCATTTCCCAGAGTTAGAAGTCTTTATGTTCTGTCTCCCTTTCTGATATTTCTCACACATTTCTTCTCCCTTCCCTTATATTCCCTTTCGCTATTATTCATATTCCCCAAATGAATGAGAACATACACTGTTTGTCCTTCTCCGGTTACTGTGGCCAAGTTCAAAAAGGGTGTTGCCTGAGTTCTTCTCTGGGATTTTGATGGAATCTTGTCTCACATTTAGATCTTTCATCTATTTTGAGTTTATCTTTGTGTATGGTGCAAGAGAGTGGTCCAGTTTCATTCTTCTGCATGTGGATGTCCAATTTTCCCAGCACCATTTATTGAAGAGACTGTCTTTCTTCCAGTGGATCGTCTTTCCTCCTTTATCGTATATTAGTTGAGCATAAAGTTCAGGGTCCACTTCTGGGTTCTCTGTTCTGTTCCATTGATCTATGTGTCTGTTTTTGTGCCAGTACCACACTGTCTTGATGAACACAGCTTTGTAGTACAACCTGAAATCTGGCATTGTGATGCCCCCAGATATGGTTTTCTTTTTTTAAAATTCCCCTGGCTGTTTGGGGTCTTTTCTGATTCCACACAAATCTTAAAATAATTTGTTCTAAGTCTCTGAAGAAAGTCCATGGTATTTTGATAGGGATTGCATTATACGTGTAAATTGCCCTGGGTAACATTGACATTTTCACAATATTAATTCTGCCAATCCATGAGCATGGAATATTTTTCCATCTCTTTGTGTCTTCCTCAATTTCTTTCAGTTCAGTGGAACAATCCACAAAAACAAGGACTAAATAGATATCATGATGACACTAAACTCATATCTGTCAATAGTAACTCTGAACGTGAACGGGCTTAATGACCCCATCAAAAGGCGCAGGGTTTCAGACTGGATAAAAAAGCAGGACCCATCTATTTGCTGTCTACAAGAGACTCATTTTAGACAGAAGGACACCTACAACCTGAAAATAAAAGGTTGGAGAACCATTTACCATTCAGATGGTTCTCAAAAGATTTATTTATTTATTTTGGCAGGCAGGGTCACAGTTAGAGGGAGAGAGAGAATCTCAAGCGGACTCCCCGCTGAGCCCACGTAGGGCTCAATCTCATGACCCTGAGGTCGCGACCTGAGCCTAACCGACAGGCCACACAGGCCCAGCCCCAGACCTGCAGCATTTCTAGAAGACCACAAGTCAGGCTTGCAACGAGGGGGACGTTTATTTTAGCTCGGGCCGCTGGAGCCCAGTGCTGGAAGTCTTCACGCAACAGTTAAACCCAGAAGCATTGGCAGCTGGGGGTGGGCAGGAAGGCACGAGGACCTTCCCCGCCGTGGGCAACTGGCGTGAGATCCCAGAAGGCCGGGTCCCCGCATTCTCATGTGACCTCTCTCTCTCTCTGCTCAGAGGTTTGAAAAAAAAAAAAAAAAAAAAAAAAAAAAAAACTTCTAACACCAAGCTTTCTTCTTTAGGAAACAAGTCCCCGGTTGTTCTCTGTTCTGGAAGAAGAGAAAACTCGCAGCAGCGGCTGAAAATCTAATGAGAACCTAACAGGCAGACTAACAATGGTCCCTGGATGGGAAGTAGAGGCAGGGCGGCTGGTCCTTGCAAATTGTGCCACAGACACAGAAATAAAACAGGACACCATCCGGGCCCTCGGAAGAGGGCACTTAACGACGTCTTCCTTTCTGGTCTCAGATGAAACATGTGGGGACGGTGGCCTGCATAACCTCTATTTATTTTTTTATATATATAATATTTTTATTGAGGTTCGATTTGCCAACATATAGGGTGACACCCAGTGCATAACCTTTAGAAGAGGGATCTGGACAGGACGGCTTCTGTGGCTCTAGGAGGATCCAAGGTGCCAGGGAATGTCACCCGTGATGCCAGGACCTGCCTCCCTCCCCAGGTGGCAGCCAGCAGTTGCACGTTCTCTCGGGGACACGGGGCCCCCTGCTGGCTCCGGGGCTGCAAACACATCTCCCTGGTCGGGTGCAGGCAGCTGCCCTTGGCTCCCAGGATATCAGTGCTCATCACACGGGGGAAGGGAGGGGGAGAAGGGCAAGGAGCTGTGAAAGCCGTCCCCGTCCCAGGTCCTCTGGGGACACCTGCCCTGAACCTGCGAGGCACGCCCGATACCACAGAAGGAGGCTCCAGCGCTAAGCAGGTGCACCCGGCGCGGGCTGCGGGGCCGAGGGCACCTCACCTGCGCGCACCTTGCGGTCCACCGAACATCTTTTGCTCCCTCCCATGTTCCCATCTGCTCCCAAGTCACTTTGCGAGCCTTCAAGGCTGAGCAGGGGCCAGGCACATTACAGATCTCAGGGCAGCTCCCCCCCTCCCCCATTTCTCAGGAGAGGCTGGTGTAGGGAGGATGGGCCTGCCCTGGCGGCGTTGGGCTCCACCACGTGGAGGTGGGCATGACTTGCCGTCAAGGTGGACACTGCCCCGGGCCATGCAGTGACGGGATCCTGAACCAGAGGTAAGGGAGAGACTGGGGGCTGGGAGCCGGGAGCCCTAACCTCTTTCTCAGCTGTCCTCAGCCTCTCTCCTTCCAGTAAGATCCAGGACAGGTGACAGTGTGGTTGTTACAGAAATGCTCCTTCAAGACCAGTCCCAAGCCGTCTGCCCTGCTTTTCTAACTGCCTCGCTGTCCCTGATCCCTTCTGTTTAGATATTTCGAGCCCGCGCTATGGGGGTGGCAGTGTGTGAGCTGGGGGCATGCCAGCGTGGAACCCCTCCAATGGGGCAGTCGTTCCTGGCTCAGGCTGAGGGCTGGTTCGGCAGTTGAGCGCCCTCCTCCAAGTGACAAGGGACGGAGCAGTGTGGGTCCATTTAGAGAAACAGGCACCTGCTCCTTAAAACTAGAGAAAGACTGGGCAGGCATGGGGCCCTGGCTTCAGGGATGAAAGTCCCCCTCAGGAAACACCCTGAGATAAAATGCTCGTAAAAATGCTCCTGCAAATTTAATAAATTTATCCTCTGACTTATGAGCATTGTCACACACACACACACACACACACACCACCACCACCCCTACCCCTGAGATAACCAGCTACACCTGCAGTGTCACACTCAGGGCGAGGACTCACCGGCTCTATTGGGAAAGACGGGATGAGTCTGAGGCTGAGTGGCGGATGAGCCAAGTCGGACGTCTCCAGGGAGTGTTTCCTGCAGAGCCTAAAGGACCGTATCAGACAACAGTTGTAGAGAATAGCCTGGTTGTCGGGAAAACCACCCAACAATTAAAAGGCAAGTGTCTTAAAGGATCACGTTTCTTTGCTAGAATCTTGGTGTGAGGGGTTTCCATCCGCTCTCAATGTGAACAGAGTGGTGTAGACGTGTCCTCCCTGGGGGAGGGACATGAATCTAATTCTGGAGGAGAGTGAGACCCGGGGGCCGTTGTCCCCTCCGTCCATCGGTTGGCTTTGTGAAACAGGTGCACTCAGTGGTGACCTGGGTCCCTCAAGTAATTTGAGCCCGGGCACTACAGAAACTTGCCATCTCGGTGCACACAGGCTGCTCACCCCGCACCTGCCATGTCCTTGGGTTTGGATCTGCCGTGGACCATACCTGTGCAAGAAAAGTGTATTGTATCTAATTCACAGGTATGGGCTCTAGGATGCCCCAGCTCACTGATTTGCACGTAAATTGCTATCCTTCCGTGTAGCCAAGAATAAGGAAGGACGCCGCGTGTTGCCCATCCCAGGCCAAACACCCCGGGAGAAGCTGGCATGTACGCTGCTTTCCTGCCACAGGGGTGCTCTCTTCGCCCTGCCCCTCTGCTGTCAGCCTTTCCCCCTGACTCTCCGTAGCAGACAAATGCTATGTGTTCTCCACCACATTAACCTTGGGCGCGCAGCCAGACCACATTTCCCAGTCTCCCTCGCAGCTGGGGTCATGAAAGAGTGTCTGGAACGATGGGATACAGGCTGACGTGACTCATGCCACCTGGAATCCTGGAAGGAAGAACATACTATCCAATCTCCAGCCCTGTCCTTGCCTGGTCGTGCAGTCGGGAGCTCATGGGATCCAGACGGCGAGCCTACAAAACAGAGGAGACAGGTTTCCTGACCTACCCTAGAGTATGACAAGAGTGGTGAATAGCCTTCCTGGAAAGCCACTGAGTTTGGGTGGTTATTCGTTGCTGCAGCGTAGCTTAACTTAGCCTGGCCAACAAAGCCCGCCTGTCCAGCAACGCTCTTCTGCCTTACG